AAGGAGGCCTACGCATTTATTGTGGTTTTCACAGTTGTTGGTGCTTCTATGCTTTTTTTTTGTGTGTGTTTGTTTTTTTTTGGTACGATAATTTTGTTTTCATTTATTTGTTAATTTTTTTGTTCAGACATCAACGAATGTGTTCGTGGGATACACAAATGCAGCTCTGATGCGTTTTGCAACAATACCAAAGGTTCATACAATTGCACATGCAAAAATGGATTCACGGGAAATGGACGAGAATGTAAAGGTGAGCGTTGGATTTATTAGCGATTATGCAAGGAAAAGATAAAGCTTACATTTGCACTTTTGCAATTTTACACAAGGAAGATATGAATGTTTCGCAGCTCATCAGTATGACCTTCAAGGCGGCTGTTGATCGATTCATTTTGAAAAAATTGTGTATTAATCATGAGAAAACTAAAACTACGTTTACCAAACCAGGAACAGTATGTGAAGGAGGCCTACGCATTTATTGTGGTTTTCACAGTTGTTGGTGCTTCTATGCTTTTTTTTTCTGTTTTTGTTTTTTTTTGGTACGATAATTTTGTTTTCATTTATTTGTCAATTTTTTTTTTGTTCAGACATCAATATCTGCTGCTATTCTTTGTTCATTTATTCGTCTGTCTATTTTTTTAATCATTTTTATTATTTAATTTGAAGATATCAACGAGTGTCTTGAAATGTTACACACCTGCAGTCCTCATGCATTTTGCTATAACACCAAAGGGGCATACAATTGTACATGTAAACATGGACTTACTGGAAATGGACGAGAATGTAAAGGTAAACGTTGGGGTCGAAATATAGAGGAAAATCAGTTAGTGAAAAGTATAAGTAAGAATTTTGCTACATTAACGGTAGCACTGCCATTCCATAAGGCATTAAGACCTTTATAAACTATTTGAAGATAAACAGGTGCTACAAAGCAAACATTGCAGCGCAAATTTAAGAATCTTGTCACCATTATTATACTATTTAAGGCTACCAAAGGTATAGGATAACCACTATTATTATACATTAGACTTATTATAAAATATCTGATGGGTTGATAGTGACCAATAAATATTTTATAGCGTGTGCACTTGACACAATAACCCAATATCCGTAACGGATATTGCAGTTATCATTTCGAGCTCAAAATCTACTTAGTTTCTAAGTAGAAAGACGTCCGTATAGTGTTTTAAAACGTTCGCAAGCTCAGATTTTGAAAAATCTACGTAATAAGAAAATCATTGAATTCGGTTTTCGCATGAAATCACGATATATTAAACCTTTTGTATGTGTCCGCGTGATCTCCCTCGTCCTTTGGCTTCAGAAGACAACTCAGATCTCGCTTTTGCTAATTCAAGATATCATACTCAACCTCATCCACAAATTGCTTATTAGCTTAAAAGTTTTCTTCATCTCCTTTTTTTTCAGTTGGTAAGTGCCTTTGAAACACATCCGTCGATGATTCTTAATCGTTTGAATGTTCTCTTCGAGTAAAATCACAAAATACGAGCTGGCATGTGTTGCAGCTTAAACCGTTAATATTATTAGTGTGGAAACTAAATGCCCAATCATGAGTCTTTGATGTTTTTCGAAATAATTAATTTTTTTTCCGACACAACTGGTAATAAACTTGGTAAGCCTTCAAATAAAGTAGAAAGTTTAAAAACTGGATAAAAACATTTATTGTTTTATTAAGATAACAACAATGGTCCTCCCCTGACGCCGTTTCTTATCAATGATGTATTTGAAGAAAACATGCATGCTGCCAAACAAAGTAAATGAAACTGAGAACTCTTTTCAGCTACAAAGCAGAGCTTGGAACATGATAAAATTATTTTGTCAATCAGTCAGATTGCAGTCAATATAGTTTCCCAATGATGGATTAAGATGAAGCTAAAACAAATTTACAATTTTTTCTAATCAAAGGTATTTTTAAATTCGTTCCAGGAGGTTCCTCGTGTAAAGAAATTCATGGCATGTAAGTAGAATTAATTTTCGACATTATTTTCATGGTACATCAAATATTCCGCTTGCCCGCAATTAGTTTAAGCCCGTCACGTCACCGAATACAGCCCAATTTTCAAACCACATTCCATATACAAAGAGAGTCGTCCTTTAAACCTGGTTCATTTAAAAGGGGTGCATTACTGTCCTCAGAGAAGAAGAGAAAAATAACATTTGCCCTGGGACATCTATTTGATTCCAAGACAAATAACCAAGCATTGTTGTTATAAAAGGCTGTTGTTTATATTCCACAGATATTGACGTCTGAAGGATCAACTTTTCGTCTGCTTATTTGTCGAATCATTATTATTGTCGCTCAGTAACTTTCCCATTGTCATTTTCATTCCCCCCATTGTAGCTATGACTTTTATAAGCTCAAGTTTTATTTCACCATCGTTGTCTTCATTATTAGTTGTATTTGTTTTTTTCATTTTGATTCAAAAGATCCAATGTGAGTGGTGTGGTTACCCTTCTTGTTGACTCCCAACCATTGTCCGTTTTCTGTCACATGGGAAATTTTGGGTGTGGAGATGGAGGATGGACACCAGTCATGAAGATTGACGGCAGAGAGGTGCATACGCTTATTAAATAATTATCTCGTGTATAAACCCGCTCTCTTTCAAAACGTTGCAAGTTAAAAACGTGCATGTAACTTATGTAAGCCTTTTGTTTTTCATCGAGAAGGTAATATATGAAGAACAGACCTCGTTCAAGACTTATTGTGTGTAGTGACTGTTGAAAAAGAATGAAAAAGAATACATAAATATATGCTAACATATTTTTCTTTAATATCATGTAACAGCTAGATAAGAAATACACATCATTAAGATCATAATTCGGTTAAAAGCTGCTCGTAACAAAGAATATATCGTATCTGAGTTAAAGTTCCACACTAGTTAATGGATATGTAGATATCACACTGATTTAAAGAGCTGTCACTGCTCATCCCCTATCCAGCGAGGGGAGGGGATAGGTAGAGGAGGGTTCTTGGAGGACTATAGAACATCTAGTGTCAATCAATGATTGCCAATGAGGAAAGATCATGGATCACAGGAATATTACAGAGTCTAATGTGGAGCGAGGGGGGATCAGGTTACTATTATCGTGACAACTCTAATTTGTTTTTGTTATATATAAAAGAGATCAGAATTTCTTTATAGAAAAACGACTTCTATCATTCTTCATTCACCTCACAAATGGTTATCATTTCAATGAATCTTGACTGGCGTGCAAATGAACACACAGAAAAACTGCCTATAAGTAGATAGATAGGTCATGCACTGATCTACGGCGCCGAGTCCGTGTTGGAAAAAAATGACCTTAGTCTTCACGACACGATGGCGTAATCACCAAGGTAAATTTAACGGTAAAAAAAAATGAGTAATAGATCAATAAATGCAGATACACGACAGAACTTATACAGCAAATATCCATTAATTCGGAGTGAATTTAAAAAAATTAACTGCTCCTATATTTCAGACCACCTTCCATTATGATAAGCATTACTGGACAAATTACGAAGGATACAATATTCCCGGAGGAAAAACTGGGTTCGACGGACAAGAATCAAAGTTACCCACCTACTGGAACACATCCTTCTCCAAGATCTGTCTTGGTATGAAGATCGACCAACAGCTCAGGTTCATCGTCATCCACAAGCAAGCTGACTCTCTGTACTCACTGATTGCTGATGGCCAATACCACGCCACCCCACTGGGTCGTGACAAGTGGAAAGAGTTGATTGGTTCCCAAGGCTCATTACAGAAAAACTGCAACAAAGAAGGGTTCAATGTCGTTTGTAGTTCGACAGGATATTCTAAAGCCAGAATTGGCATTGTAAGCAACGGCAGGAATGAGTGTGACTCGTGCGATTCAAGGATCGGATTTGGCACGGGCGGGAGGCCTGACAATTTAAACACGTGCGGTAACGTGGCCGGTGTTTCTCCAGATAATGGATACAAAAACATCAAGGCCATGGGATACATCTTGGTACAATAAATATGACTCAGTTTTCGCCAAAAAAAAAACACTTATAATAAGTCTCATGTTCATTACACAGATTTTTCTTGTTTCAAGCGCAACCCCTCGGATAGGGACTTATGCTCCCCATAACTGTCGTTTTACCCTGGATCAATCTCGAGCCATTCTTTCTACTAAGTCTATGAAGATAAATTTGAGATACCAAGTTGAACATTCTTTCATGTAAAACGGCATATCAAACAGCATTCAAATATTCTAATAACAGAGGTGTCCAACTCGCTTACTATGTCGTAGAAATTATCATTGGCCAATAATATTTTCTATTATTATCCTCACATTTTAGGAGGAAGAGGTGGACGGGTGAAAATCTCTCTTACTGCCTTTGGATTGTTATGTGTATCACTATAATCCTTAAAGGATCGAAATGGAAAGGAGCAGCTATGCTTTCTGGCCTAAACGAAATTGAGATGATTCTTTAATAAAATAGACTAGTTGCAGCTTTATCTTTCGTTGCCTTCAGTGAGATGTAGATGCACAGTTTTGGACTTCTCAGCTTAACTAAGTTCGGGCGGGGCACTTATCTGATAACTCCCTTGGACTTGCTGCTTAGATGTAACAATCTTCCGTAACTAATCTTGTCTCTCCACCAAATCGCCCGTTTTACACAGCTGCCCTCTTTTCTACGCTCTTTCCTCTCTCCCACTTTGTTTACCCTTTCGTTGCAAATCTCCTACTGATTCTCAGAGCCTTATTTCCCGTTGCTGGTCACCATTTTCCCTTCCCTCACGGTCAGACTCTCTTTTAAAATGATGTTCTTCGAAATGAAAGCCACATACAATTTTCTTTTTATCGCTTTTCACTTTTTTCACTTTAGTTCTCTCCAGGGGACATAAACTTTTCAAACTAAATTTATGATACTTCTCCTGTCTGACTAATAAATGGTGCTTCGCAATCACTAAAACGAAAGAAAAATTCTCTGAAAATTCTCATATTATTTTGTTTTGCTGATAACTTTTTTCAACGCCCAGCCTCGGTACGAGGTCAGCACACATATTTCACTTTTGACATAGACGGGTGATTTTTCTTCTGCCCTGATTTTTCTCTTGCTAAAAAACCTGCTCTGCTCTCTCAACCAATGACATTTCTCATCTATTTCAGCCTCCAGGCAGTTTGCTTATGGTAGCTTTGAAATCTCAATTAGCTCCATGCGATGTGTTCTTATATTCCAATAGGCTGTTGTAGTTTCATTTGTTTTGGTTTTTGACATCCCTCTCATCAACTGAAAAGCTCAAAGCCTTTCCTTTCCTATTCTCAGAATCCATTGTCCTCTACAAGAATTAAACAATTAAAAAGTGGATAAACAAACACCTATTAAACCTTTGACCCCTAAAAGTGACAAGGATCTAATTTCTCTTACAATATCACCGCCGGATCAAACATTAAGGTCACCTAAATCAAGGAACTGATCACCGACTAAAGCTCTGGATTGTTAAACTAATTCTCCTCCTTGGCTCCTTAGAAAACATGGAGAGCAGTGTAGAGAATATGCATCCTAACGTTAGGGCGGAAAAGGGTAAACTTGCAATAAATTGGCATCCCACCCAATTATGAATTTGAGGCAGAGTACGCGAAAACTCTATGGATTATCATTCTTTAGTCTGACAGGCCCCTGTGATAACCTTATTGTTGGTTTTCATATCTTTTACGTGGAAATTTTCGAGTAACCTTGTCAGGTTGGAGTATCAATAAAAACTTGACCAAAAAGGACCGAGAAACTTTAAGTTTCTGATGGCTGGCCTCTCGCTGAAAAAAAACACACATTGACCCTCACTTTCTCAAACAAAATAGTCGGGATACAAAAAATCACCTGTTTATATTGGCAATATATTAATATATAAAACATTTTGGATAAGCGCCTAAGCGCTTATGCGGGGAAATACTGTATACCGCAACTCTATACTAACATTTCACTAGTACCAATACAGGTTGATGAGTACGAAAGCGAATTTAAAATTGAATTCCTGAAAAAATTAAGATGACGAGTTAAGAGATTTCCTTAGAATTAAACACCCTGTTCAAATATCTGAGCGGCAAATTTAAGCCCCAGCAAAATTTTATCTTTTAATTTTCCACACCGTTCCTTGTCAAAGCGTTCAACAAGTGCTTGAAAGTACTTTCGTCGACTGCAGAAAAATGCGGATTTGTACCATCTTCAAGTTAGGAAATTACGTACCATACAATAATTTCATCTACCCGCCATAACGAATATCAGATAGAAATTAAAAAGGGAGGTAAATGGAGTCGGAGTCGCGCACAGTCTTCGGCGTGTAATCAGGATGAGTGACAACGGCTCAAATAAGGCACTTACGTTGGTATATATTGTGAGAACAGTCACAATGACCTAAATACTGTTTTTGTCAGTTGCTCGATGTGTATAAATTGAAGTAGCCTGGAAACTAGGGAAAAATCCCAAAGAAAGTTTAGTACAGAACATGCTGAAAAATGTTCATCATCAATTATACCTAACAAAAATTAGAAATAAACTTATTTGGTAAAATGCTCACGAGAAATACAAGCGTGGAAATACGCATGGAAAATAATTAACCCAAACTTTTCGCAGGGAGAGAAGTGTTGGATTTAGTTATTTTGACTTATAATATCTCACACACCTGTAGTATTATTTCTTAAAAGTTTAATAACTATGGTACAGTAAAATTGGCAGAAAGCCTTTTCCCACATGCAGGCATAGCATTTTCAAAACGATCAAAGAACCCGAATTGCACTGGTTTTTTTTGTACTTCACCTAAGAATGGTCCATAAAATTCTAGACACCCTCTCAATCAATCAAATTCAGTAGCTTTAAACTTATCAAGGCTTAGAAGTGAGCATTTAACTGCATAGAAGACAGTTTGCATGTGTTCAATTTAGAGTCCATTGCTTCTTTGGGTTATTATTCTTTGGTCTGACAGGCCCCTGTGAAAACCTTCTTCTTGGATTCTATTTTTTTTAGGTAGAAAGTCCTCGAAAGATTCTGGTTTTGATTTTAAAAACCCCAAGCAAAGGATGCAACTGATGGACTTAGATCAGACTTGATTTCACAGCCAATGATGATGCTCCCCATCTCCTTGCAAGGCCGTGAAGTAGTAATTTTCATGTAAACTCATGAGGTTGCAGTATTAATAAAAATTTCATTATAAAGGGCCTGCAAGGTGAAAGTTTCTCATGGCTGGCTTCTCGCTGATTAAAACTCACATTGACCCCAAAGCTGTCCCAATTTTCCAAAGAAATTAATAGGAATAAAAAAAAACCACCTGTTCATAATGCCAATATATTAATAAATAAATAAAATTAAATAAGCGCCCGGGCGCTTCTTCAAGGAAATAGCGTATACCGCAGTTCCATACCAACGTTGGACTTGAACCAATACTAGTTGATGAGTGCGAAAGCAAATTGAAAAGTGAATTCATAAAAAAAATGAAGATGATGAGTTTAGGGATTTTCTTATAATTGAACATTTTGTACAAATATCTAAACGCCAAGTTTAAGCCTCAGCAAAATTTATCTTTTAATTCACCTCACCGCTCCTTGCCAAAGCGTTCTAAAAGCGTTTGAAACACTTTTGTCGACTGCAGTAAAACGCTTATTTCTACCATCACCAAGTTAGGACATTACGCACCATACTATAATTTCACCTACCCGTCATGATGAATATCAGATGGAATCACTAAGTCAGCAGTGAAGTAATTCTTGAACTAGCTTGTGAGGAATTAAGTGGAAAAGAGAAGTAAATGGAGTCGGATCCGCAGTTTTGGTCGTGTAATCAGGATAAGTGACGGCTCAGACAAGGCACCTATGTTGCGACAGCTTGACAGCTTGCAAACAGTCGACTTGACAAAAATAGCTTTGAACAACAGTTTACTTCGAAATTAATCATAAATTATTGTTGGAGGTCTTGTAAGTACGCATAACTCCATTCTGTCAAAGGAAGACTGAAGAGTCCTCAAAATAGTTATTACTTTATGGCAAATGATGAAAAACTTATTATGACCCTAAATATAAACTTGACGAAGAAATACGTTCCTAATTACCGTCGGCCCTAAAATGTAACCATCAGCCGTCAAAGACTCCAAAAATTGAATTGTCAACCTTCAAAATAGGAAAAAATTAAACGTCAGCCGTCAAAGCTCCCCCACCCCTCCCTCACCCATTGAGAGGACTTTTTCGTTTTTTTCTGTGACAAAATATATTCTTTGATAAGTGCTCCAAACCTCACGGAAAGGCATCACAATGCATTTGAATTTTCAAATTTTTCGAGGGAGGAGGAGGCCTCTGCAATTTCATTAGAAACCCATATCGCCAAGGCTCTGTTTTGTTTTCCTTTTAGTCCCTTTTATTTATAATTAAGTTACGAAAAAGAAAAAACTATCTCTTCAGAAGGCCGCAACAATTGGCTAGAACCTAATAAAGAACCAATGAACCCCAAGTTCTCTTAGACAGCTGGCAGCTGGAAGTCTACTGTATGACCCAATTGCGCAACGTTTCGTTGTAAAGTAAAAACAGATTCGAGTTACTACAGTACATACAATTTGAGAGCGACTTAAATGTGAAACTTAAAGCACAAGCAAAGCTTAACTTCACCAAGTGCCTCAGCCATTCATCATGTCTGCTGATTTCAAGCACCATCTCATTTTCGTTCTCTCCAGGTAAATGTTTTATCGTATCTTTTGTTTCGTTCACATCTTTCTTAGATTTTCTCCTTATTCCATTATTACCCCTAGATCCCTTCCGCCCTAGATGAAGCGAGCCCTTCTACTATAGTAGAAATGAAAACTAATAAGGCGCACAACGTTTTTCCATATGCCGTTTTTCCCAAAACGTCATAACGAAGATTTATGATCGATGATACCCATGCTATATCATTGCACAAAAATTTCACCGGAAAATCTTCATAGCAGTGTGTGTTGTGAAAATATATTTTATAAGTCGTATTTCCACACACTTTCATGGGGCATCTGTTT